ATAGAATAAATCATCAAGACTCTACTGGACCGTGCTTTTGGGCTCTGTAATACAAAGGAAGGTCTCGAAAAGGAACTAGGCATCATCAAAAATGACCTTCAATAGTAGAACATGCCTTAGCTAAAAGACAGCAAGAACTCCACAAGGAAGACAAGCCGCCACAACCAGTACTTGTACTTCCCTACATCAGATGATTATCGGAAAGGATAAGAAGAATTGGATCCAAGTACAACATAAGAACTTGATTCAGATCCAGAAACACTATCCGTAGCAGCCTCACGAAAACCAGGCCATCAAACGCGGACTGCGATTCCAAGAATTGCATTCACCGGATACCTTGTGAGTGCGGAAAATCCTATATCGGTGAAACTAACAGGCCATTGGATGTTCGCATTGCCGAGTACAAGAAACACACACAATTCATTTCAGGTTTTTTTTATAAATATGATTGTTATTTTCAGTTACTCATTTTCAATTCTTCTTTTTTATTAGTTCATTCAGGGATTTCAATTTTATATATCAGACAATGGAAGTCCGAACTAATGAAAGTCAGATTTTGTGCAGTTTTGACGTCAACCTCCCACAAAACAACCGATTGGGCTGGCAGCACTGTTTATGAATGACGTCACCTATGAAATATTAGCTGAATTTCTGTCAAGTCAAATTCTTTCTTTTCCTTTCTGCTCGCTTGGCGTGAACGTGTTCAAGTGGAGTAGTGAAAATGACGACCGATCCTAAGGCATTTCTCAAAGATTTCCTCGCTGGTGGAATATCAGCCGCTGTAGCCAAAACCGCAGTAGCACCAATTGAACGAGTTAAATTGCTTCTACAAGTACAAGCAGCTAGCAAACAAATATCTGCAGAAAATGCATACAAAGGTACTTACCACATTTATCTGGAACGTTTTGAGTTTTTCATTGATTTAAATTGAAATATTTCATGTTTCGTTTTCTGCAGACTGCTGAGGAGTTCAGTATGATTTTGAGGTAAGTATTTAAAGAATTGCTTAGATATTTCCACGTGTTTGCGTGTCTAAGTACCCGCCATATTAGCACATTCTGTTGATTGTTTTTCCCTTCATGTATTTGCTATCATTAGTTTGGAAAACTCTAAAATTTCCAAATGCAAAACCCAATACCCGTTCTTTTGAAAGACCCTTCACAATATTTTTGAAATTATTTCAATATTTGACAGATGTGACGTAATTGACGAAATTATCTCCCCAAAAAAATGTTTTCCAACAAATTTTAACAATTTTCTATAAAAATATGACTATGATTTTGCGATTCACGAATAATTTCAATAAATGTGACTCTTTTTGTATAACAGTTATAGCTACAAAAATAACTTTTTTCTACACATAATCGAAAATCATTAATTTCATTGATCCATCAACAAGTAATTGTAGGCCATTCAGTTAGATAATTTGAAGAATCAATACCTGTTTGTGAACATGGGCATTATTACTGTTATCTTACTGTTCCCAAAATTTGAAATTCGGAAATGAGGGACTGAATGAAACGAAGACAAACCTTTTGAATTTTTTTTGTGACTGAAATTGAGACTGAGACAGGAATTAAGATGTATAAATTGGCTCTTAGAGCAAGTAACAAAAATGGACTATTTATTAGTTAACAAGGATTAAGTAACAAATGTGATACTATTTATGAATTCATAATTGAAGAGTCCCAATAATATACGCAAGTACTTAGGTTAGGCAATGTTAATGACTCCCTGAGAGACTTAGGAAGCATCATGGCTATTTCCAATCCTGTCAAGTTGTTTAAAATTGCATAATGATAAGCAGTAATTCTCAAAAATATTATTGTATTAAAACGAAAACGTCAGGTAGTGATTCTACATATTTTATCAGATGATAAAGTATACAGAATCACAACCTGACAACAATGTTTTCGTTTAAATGCCATGATATTTCTGAGAATTTAGTGCCTACTATTATGGAAATGTAGTATAGTAACCTCAGCCGGACTAAAAAATTCTCTCAAGAAAAATATCTTGTAGAAGTTTGGTTCAAACCCATTGTCTATTGAGTTTGTACTAATGTTTGTGCTAATTTTCNTTATAAATACACTTATCCTACAGATGCATATATTAATTCTAACTAACCAAAATAACATTATTCAGTATTTGAATAAATTGTCTTATGTAACATTTTTTCCAGTCTTCATTCATTTGCCATTACTGAGACTAATTTTATTTCTATTTGGGAACATGTAGAAAGTGAGTATTTCGGAGCCCTGAATCTAATGTTGTACTGTTACCAGTAACGAACATAATTCAAATTATGCATAAATGTTGAAAATTTCAACTGGTTAGTATCAGAACTTCTTAATTTAGGATCACTGGACTGCAGATATACTTTCTATTTCATATAAAAAGCGATAATGTAATAGTTTTTTTCTTTGAGTCTTGACATCAGAGGTCATTAGCCTAACAAATGTAATAGTTTTTTTCTTCTTTGAGTCTTGACATCAGAGGTCATTAGCCTAACAAATAATTTTTATTTGCTAATATATTTTGCATGATGTTTCACGAGTGGCTGAGCCAAGTTTGATGACTATAACTTTACCACTACCCATTCACTGACATTTCTGGATGTGTTAATGTATTTTCAAGTTTTGTTATTGTGTATAGTCAGCATTTTATTTTTATAGGTATGATCGATTGCTTTGTTCGTATCCCAAGAGAGCAAGGTGTATTGAGCTACTGGAGGGGTAATTTAGCAAATGTCATCAGATATTTCCCCACTCAGGCTTTGAACTTTGCCTTCAAAGATGTTTACAAATCAGTATTTTTGGGAGGAGTTGACAAACGTACTCAATTCTGGAGGTATTTTGCTGGAAATTTGGCTTCCGGTGGTGCTGCAGGAGCTACCTCACTCTGTTTTGTGTACCCTCTTGATTATGCCAGAACGCGGTGAGTTGTAATTTCAGATCATTATATGATTCCATTTACTAATTTTCAACAAATTTGTATTTTCACATGATGCTTTTTTATTGAACTGAGCCTCATTTGATGACTCTAGATTACCACTACCCATTCACTGATGCAATACTTTGCACAATTTGAACAAATTCGGGGCTGACACTAGAATATCATCTTATTTTCTATTTTCAGTCTTGGAGCTGACGTAGGCAAGAATGTCGGTGAAAGACAGTATACAGGTTTAATCGACTGTCTTGTCAAGACTTTCAAATCTGATGGACCCATTGGTTTATACAGAGGTTTTGTAGTCTCTGTGCAAGGTATCATTATATACCGTGCAGCATACTTTGGGTTCTTTGATACTGCTAAGGGAATGTTGCCAGATCCTAAAAACACACCGTTTATCATTTCCTTCCTCATTGCCCAAGTAAGTATAAAACATAAACTTCTATTTAAAAAATTGTTGATTGTCTGAACAGGAAAGCTCCCAATTACAAAACATCAATATAATTTGAGAACATAGGCTTTTACGACCAGAATCAAGATCATAGAACAAAATCCGGGCTGGTAAGCCATGGTTGAAAAGAACTTGATACTTTCATCTTCGAATACACCACTGAAGATATCTGCCACAGTAGCAGACAAAAAGTTTGGTGGTACAGGTTTCTTTTGACTTCGGCCTACCAGCTCTGATTTTGTTCTCTCTAATACTTTTTAGCTATAATTTCAAGGTAAATATGGGTCAATAAAAAATACACGTGCCTTATCAATTTTTGCATCGGCTATAAGTCATGAATTAATGAAAACGAAATGTTTGCCTAGTGCTAGAAACATTACTACCTTTTGATGAGGAATTGCTTTCATTTTTGAAATTCACTAATATTGACAACCCCCCATGTAAAGATTTTGAGTTTATAATTATGATATGAAATTGACTTTTGTTTGAAGGTGGTTGACAATGTTTCGTGGTGTATTTCATCAGTTCGAACTACCATTGTCTAATATAATATAAATTGATTTGATAACCCTGAAAAAAATCAAAGATTAACCGAAAATAACAATTTTATTAAAACAAAAAACTGAAATTACAAGGAAATANTGTTTTCCAGGATGATGTATCTGCTGGACCAATGTCACATAACATGAGTGTACGGGGAAATGTTTTGAACAGGGTTGGACACCAGCAAGACAAATGGAAAAGACAAGTTAAAGAACAACGGCGTAATATTTATGACCGCCACACAATGTTAAACTAGTAGTACTCATTCCTGATATATTCTGTGTATTGAAATTAAATCTGTCTGCAAAATCTGATGTGGCACATCTAGTGATTCTAATGGTGTCAAATGAAGATATATTCTTCATGGTATAATTATATGAAATCACTTAGGCAATAGGAGGATATTTGGGTGAAGTCAAGTGCGATTTTTGAAGTTAAATAGAAATGGGGACCTATATTCTGAAAATTCATTATTATAACACTTTTAGAACCCATATGTCAGAAAATAAAATAATATTTCCAAGGATTTCACTTAATAGATGCAGCATACCTATCTCATTTTCAAGGAACATGTGTTTTGAAATAACTAAAAAAATGACTTTTAACACCCTCCCGAGCTCCCTCCCAAAATTAGGTTTTCAAGGTAACCAGTAAATAATTCATCTTTTCCCTACAATGACATCTTGCAAAGTGAAGAAATCTGGGGCAGTCTAGTGAAAAGGAGTTTTATTTTCATTGACAATATCACAATTCAGTTGCAACAATTTTTGTTATGAAGATATATTATCTTGAAGTGAAAATTGAGTTCTGTCAAAGTAAGAAGTTTCATTCTTCACCAAATATATATGAAAGAAAGGCATATAACCCTTTTTGCCGAATTGACCCAATTTGTTGAAAAAAATATGCTGTTTTCGTTAACCAGCTGTCGCCCCCTTAGGAACGACCCTCAGAAGAGGAAACTTGTATGAGCTAAAGATTAACGAGGTTTTGCCTATTAACGTGCGTTTTATTGCAGTTGATGGAAAAACCATTTAACGTATTTGAAAAACATTTCAATGTGAAATTTCCGCAAAATTGTTTTTGAAAATCTCACTATAACGTTATTAAATACCATTCTCAGTTTTATGATGAAGATATTACTTTAAAATATAAAAACAGTTAATAGATAGTTAAATATGTTGAATTGAAGGGTTTTTTTTATGTTATTTCAGAAAATAAATTTTAACGTAATGTTTCAAGGCATTATGGTTACTTGATTTGATTGAAACACTATGGTATACACTTTGGTGACCTGAATATATATCAGCCAAAAAAAATATGTACTCTTGCAGCTTAACTTTCATTTTTTTTCCTAAATATACAAAAAAAAAATTCAATGTGATATGGAGCAATTGAATCCACCTTCCTTTGAAATTTTACTAATTCATTAGAATAAAGCAAATTACTTATCCTTAAAACATATCAATATGGCTACAAATATTATTAAGGGTGAACAAGTCATTAAAATTAAATGATATGACTATTGATTTTCGATTATTTGAAATTTATCAATAATAGCCCATTCAGGATAAGTATTTCAGTCTGTGGTCATTTGTAATTTAAGAGTGTTTTGTCCAGTTTTGTGGAGTGTCGCGCAACATTTGAAACATGGAACCCGTGCTATGAGAAGTATTTTAACTCTTTTAAAATGCGTAGAAGAGGCATGCTATTTTATTTCCAAATTTCCGACTTTAAACTTGGATTTATGTTAGTATCCACAATCGTCTTCGGGTGATGGACTGGACTAATTCCTCCGAGAAATGACTATTTATGGGTCATTCGAGTACTTTCACTTATCTCCTTTTTCAGCTTCACCGGTTTAGTGGGAGATGACCGTTTGGCGGGAGTTGGTCATTTTTTGCTTGATTATGGGTTTCCATATGTTGCGTATCTCTACGCTAGCTTGGCTGAATACATTGTTGGACAAAATGTATGCGGCTTTTTTGAATTGCCTCCTAAACTGATGTTCCTCACATGCTCTTCTATTCATGATTTGCTGATTTCCCCATGTTGTGTGTGTTTCTTGTGCTCGGCAATGCGAACATTCAATGGCCTCTCAGTTTCACCGATATAGGATTTTCCGCGCTCACAAGGTATTCGGTAAATGCAATTCTTGGAATCGCAGTACTCGTTTGGTGGCCTGGTTTTCGTGAGGCTGTTACGGATAGTGTTTCCGGATCTGAAGCAGGTTCTGATGTTTGACTTGGATACAATTCGTCTTATCCTTTCCGATAATCCTCTGATGTAGGGAAGTGCAAGCACTGGTTGTGACGGCTTCTCTTCCTTGCGAGGCTCCTGCTGTCTTTTAGCCAAAGACTGTTCCGTTCCGTTGAAGATCACTTGATGATGTCTAATTCCTTTTCGAGACCTTCCTTCGTATTATACAGCCCGAAAGCACGGTCTAATGGAGTATTGATGATTCCTCTTTTAGTCGATTGATGGTGGTTGGGGTCGTGGTTCAGATACTGTCCCGTGTGAGTGGGTTTTCGGTATACAGATGTTTTCCACTTAGTGTCGGTCCTCTTCACCAATACGTCTAAGAATGGCAATTCGTTGTAGCCTTCCTTCTTCATTGTGAAAGAGATGGAACATATTACGCTGTTGATGTGTTTCAAGAAGGCGTCTAGTCCAGTATTCCCATGGTTCCATATTATGAAAGTGTCGTCAACGTATCTCAACCAGACACGAGGTTTCTTGTGGGCTTCTTCAATGGCCAAAGTTTCAAACCACTCCATATAAATGTTGGCTATAACTGGTGAAAGTGGCGATCCCATTGGCAGTCCCTCATCTTGTGTAAAGAATTCGCCCTTCAGTTGGAAATAACAGATTCGTACACAGTATCCTAGCAATTCCATAATTACATCTACAGTTATATTCGTTTTAGCTTCCAGGTCCCCGTCTTCGGATAGCTTCCTCTGTATGATTTGGAGTATTTCTTCGACCGGCACGTTGGTGTAAAGGCTTTCCACATCGAAACTGATTAGTTGATCACACAGGATTGTGGTTTTATCCTATATCAATAAAACACAATTTCAAATAGCAATATATAGGAAACCTACACAAACAAGCTCCACCATACCCGCAAGTTCAAACCATCCACCATCACACAAAATGGCTGCCTATAACGCATTCATATATAGAATGTTAAGGATACCACTCAGCAATGAAG